GGAGGTGCGTGCGATGTTCCACCACAGCAAGGTCGGAGCCACGCCTGAGCAAAACGCCGGAGCAGATCAGTGTGCATTTCACTTCCTGGCTTTGGTAGGTTTAAGTAACAGTCTAGTGTAACTCCAATACAATATTTTTATCGTTGGTATTAAACATATTTATTGTTTTAAACATGAGTGGGAATTTGGCAAAGAAATAGTCGTGGTGCTTGGCAGATGGAACTTACTTGTGCTGGTAAGTAAGACTGTAAAATGCTACTATGCTCCTCCGTAAGCAGATTTGCAAAACACCCACCCTTTTGCTACTGCACATACGTGAAGATTATCTTCTCTTGAGAGTCTCAGCTCCAATGAGGGCTCTAGGCCCTTGGGCTGCTCCTTCACTTTCCCTTCAAGATCTGTAGGCTGGGTTTTTATCTGGAATTAATCAACATAGCCCATTTATTTATTTATTCAGTGAAGGCAATCTGCTTTATGTTAGTCCAGATGCACAGAAGATCCTGAGGCTGCAGCTCTTTTTGTCGGCTACCTTTTCTGCTTGTGGTGGTGTTTGCATTGGTCATTTTAAAGTAGCTTTCTCACCAACATCTGAGCCGGGGTCAGGCCAAGGACTTGTTTCTTCTGCGTTCTTGCAATCTAGGTACAGATGTGAAATGCACTGGAGATGTCTTTTTCTTTTCCCCCTAAAAGATTGATGCTTGAAGAATGTATTAGAAGCTACACAAATGTCGGGAAAGTCAGAGCACTGTTTGCAGCGGTAGTTACAAAAGGCTGCTCAGATGCTCCTTTGTTAGAGGCAGTATCACTTTGATTGCTGTTTCATCTTGCAGCACCTCATACCGGCTGCCCTTCTGCTGTGCCGCCTGCAAGGCGTGCTGGCCGAGAGACTCGCGGCTGGGGCAGATACCCCAGAGAGCCAGCCCGTGTCTGTAAAGATGAGAGGAGAGTCTAGCGGAGAGGGAATCGCAGCGAGCACAAGGCCCGGCTGCCTGCAGGCTGGACCTGCAGGGACCCTGGCTCCCACAGGCGCCCTCCTTCTGGGGCTACCGGGGGCTGCCCTCGGGCCCCTTTGCCACCCGCTGACACCTGCGGCCCTGAAGGCTTGACGGTGAATACGGCTTCGTCGGAAGCACCGCCTTGATCCCCCACGCTTCTGTTGCTCAAAACTCCCCGGTATTGAAACTGGGTCATATCCTTGGATATGCGTTAGCCGCTGCAAAAATTCTTTGTTCGTGAATAGCTTGTGTCCTTCAAAACGGTTCCTGCGCTCCTGAAGTGGAAAGTGTTTTGTGATGTGGTCTAAAAGCAGAGCCCGAGCGTGCCCAAGAACTGCCTCTCTTGGGCAGCGGGGCTGAGGAGAGCCGCTGCGTTACTGTCAGGATATCTGCGTGGCTTTGAAGTGTCTTGCTCCAAGAGCTCTGTTGGATGCTTTTTGGCGTTACTTGTCACCCAGGATGGGTGTGGGCTCTCAATCCGAGGTCAGAATTCCCCCTGAGGTTACAACAGCCCAGCAAGCAGTGGTAAGCACCATAGTCTTCCACTTTGCTAAACAGTAAAGGAGGAGATTGCAGACAGATGGGAAGCCGTGTTCTTGGAGCAAGGTCTCCGTTGCAAGGTTATGATGGGTTATGTAAATAAAAGTGGGAAGGTGCTGGCAGCAATTTCTTGAGTAGAATTGTGCTAAGATTCTTTGTTTGGAGCAAAATTAAAATATCTTTGTCACAAGAAAACCAGAATTTGGGATTCCTCTGTGACGCTGTCACTGCTTGCTTAGGTTTAGCCAGCAGCACAGCCGTGACAACGCACGCGGTGTGCAGGAAGCCTGGATGCATCCGTTATCACATCCAGACTGCTGAGACGGAATTAGCCAAACCGGCTTCAATCTGCCCTTGAGGTGCAGTGCAGAGCAATGATTAGATCCCCTTTGCGCCCCAGGGGACACCGGGTTCTGGCTTTTCTGAGTGGTGCAATCCAGGCTTCACCAAAACAGAAAATAAAAATTAATTATTTTCATATGACCCACAGTGTTACATCTTCTCTTTTTTCCTGTGACTCCTTTAAAAAGTGGCTGAGATTACCAGCACAGTCTGGGGATGGGGCTTGTTCTGCTTCTCTTGGAAATTGTCTTCCTTGTTTGCTATTCTCTGGTCTGGCATGTGTGGAAAAAGGTTGAGCGGGCTCCTGCATGAACAAATTCCCTCCCTCTGGTGCTAGTAGTGAGAAACCACCACCCCCAGGATGGGAGAGGAGGTATTTCTGAGCTCCTCAGCCCAGCTCATCCCCACACTTGCCTGTCTGACAGTGGATTTCCTGGGACTCTATCTATAGGCAACTGAAATGAGGGACAACGTTTCCATTGACGTCACTGGACTTTGGATTAGACTCCTGCTTGTCTGAGAGCTCAAGACTTCTCTCCCTCCACCCTGGCACAGCTGACGTGCCCCCAGGACTACTGAAAATCAGTAATGATTATCGGTAGCACTCCTGGATTAACAGGCTGCTAAGAGAAAGGCAAACTACAGGAGATCTGACAAGCTGGGAACATATATTTATAGAGGGTCAAGCTGTATTTTTGCTTTTCAGAAATGCAGATCCTACTCTGTGCCTATCCTTTCCAGTCCTGGAGGGCTTCGGAAGCTGTGAGAGGAATCAATGGAAAGGGAATTTTTCATTCTCAGAAATTCAGTTTCTGTGGGGGAAGTGGGTGCTGCTGATTCACTCATGGCTTATTAGAAAGCAGCCCTGATATAACAAGCTTTAGCAAACAGTGATCCTGCCTGCAAGAGTCTCAAGGACACTGATGTCTGCCCAGTTACATGAACAGCCTTCAGCTGGCCAAACAGTAGTCAAAGAGTAAGTTACAGAAAATAGTCCCTTTGGTAGTAAAAAGAGCTAGGAAAGGCTGTGATCCTGTCTTGGGAAGGGGAGAAACTGAGACCTTGATACTGCTGCTGACTCCGTTGTGCAGCCTCTGGAGCAAGAAGTGGAAAACACAGCGGGAAATATGGGCAAAGCTAAAGGTGGAAGAAATGGGGTAGAGGTACAGAGCAGGTGGTGAGAAAAGAACAGAGCAGAGCTCCAGAGGAAGCGAGAAATGCAGGACATGCTGGCAGTGTTGAGAAATAACATCTGGAAAGAGCAAAAAGTGTCTTTGCAACTACAGCTAAAAGACAGCTTGCATTTGAGAGAGCCTCAAAGGTCCTTACTAACAATCGCTAACAAATGAAGGAACTCCCCAGAGGCTGCGTGTGGGAGAAGCCACAATTCCAGACTTCAGTGCAGCTATGACAAAGGCTGCCTAAAACCCTGGGAGGTGGGTGTCACCTTGCAGTCAACAGCGTGAAGGGAAGCTTTCACACAGAGAGTGACACAGAAATCTTGAAACTCGGAATGCTTCTGGATGCAGCTTCAATAAATGACCCTGAAGTTCTGTTTGATTAACCCCCTGAGCAGTTCATCAACTGGATTAAAGTCAGCTCCCAGGAAAACCTGTTACAATACAAATATCAGATGGGGCAGTGTCTCCTGGTAATGTTACTGTGAGTGCTGGCAGAGTGCACTCTTGTCCCTTTCCTCAATAGGAAGGTAGTTCCAAGCCCTTTTCCTCCCCTTAGTTGGCCGCAGCTTCCTGATAAGTCTCTTGCCTCTTCCCTGCCAGGAGAGCCGTTCCGAGGCGTTCGTGATCAGCCTGCCCGTGAGCTCTAAATTGAGAACAGCAGCTACAGTTAGCGGAGGGCACAGCAGCCCCGGCAGGCTGCAAGCCTGGCCTTGGGCAGCGCGCTCTCCTCCTGCTAAATGGAGCTGGCCGGCTTCCAGCTCTTGGGAAGAGGAGATGATGGATGAGGGATGGGGAAGGAAACAATCTCATACAAATAAGGCTCCCTCAGGGGCAGCCAGCGCAAGCTGCCACTGTGCATGAAACGCTTGGATAAGATTTTCCTTCATTTGAGAACAGGCCACTTCAGGGGCAGGTGAGATGCTTTCCTTGCTTCATGCTCTTCCCATTTGGAAGTGGTTGTCAACACACAAGACGAAAGTGCAAGGCCCATTCAGGGACAGGGGTATCCGTGTTCCCTTTGCAAAAGCAAGCCTGCCCGTGTTTTAAGAAAGCTCCCTGTTAGTGCCAGGCTTGGGCTCAGCAGGTTTTGCACTGAATACACCTGAAATATTTTTCCAGCTGCTGCTCTGCAGGACTGCCTTGACACCCAAGGTGAGTGCTAGGCAGGAGGGTCCTCCCTGCACAGAAGAGCTCGCTTGGAGGTGAGACTGTGAGACGAAACAAAAAGGCAGCAAGCAGAGCCAAGGAGCACATGAGAGCCAGGGTGGAGCAAGCCAGAGGCAGATACCTGCAAAAGCCTGTCATAAATTGCTGTTCTTGCATGCACGGAAAACAGAGATGTTTTCATGTCTGTGATCTCTGCTGCTTTTGTGATTTCTGCTCTTTACTTGCTAGCAGAGGGCTCACCTACAGCAAACATGGGTTGATAAAACAAAGAAGGAAGGTCTTTGTTTTTCAGGATGTCCATCCATACAAACCTACGTGCTGCCGAGCGGAGGCTGGCACGTAACAAGAGCCTGCACAGTTTGTGTGAGCAGGATTGCAGCAATCCCAGCCTGTGTTTGCTCTCATGTCCTGGGCAAGCAGCGAGCAGCCAGAGCGCTCTGGTGAGGGGAGAGCAGGGAGCCAGGGCCTCCCGGGGATGAAAGCACTGAACGGACCTGCAGATGTTACACAGGAGCAGAATGACTTCCAGCAGCTGCTGGCTGTGGCTGCCTTGGTGAGAGCAATCATCGCTGGTACTCAGGGCCAGTTGCTACAGGGATCCCTGAGGTGTGAGCACCGTGAACTAGCACAGGCATTGTGTCCGCTTTTAGGTGAACTACAAATTTGGGAGGTATGGGGGGAAAATAGTGCTGCCTGACCTGTGCTGATCATGACAATGTTGTTCTTTTTCTCTCTCCCCCACCCCAAATCCCGCTCGCGCTGAAGAAAGCAGGGCACCATGTCACTGGCATCCTGGTTCAGGTGGAATGAGCCCCCAAACCGTGTTTCCCAGAGGAACCCCTCCGAGATGGTGGCCGAGACACTAATGATGGAGCTGAGTTGGCAGATGAAGCAGGCCGAGAAGCAGCACCGAGAGCGGGAGAACGAGTATCGCAAGATCAAGACCGGGGTGGACTACGGCTGGCTGGTCAGCTACCCAAAGCAGAGCTACGATATCAGCCCAGGAGAACGGCTGCAGCTGGAGGATATGTGCAGCAAAATCCATCCTTCCTACTGCGGGCCTGTGATACTAAGGTACAGTGAAAGAGCTGGTGATACACACTGTTCCTTTCCCTCTCAACCCTTATGGTGTGCAAGGAGGGACTCTGAGTTTCTTAGAGACCTGGCATAAATCACAGTGTGACAACACCTTTCTGGAAGAGAGATCTAATGTCTCACGTGGTATCACTTCTGCTTTACCTTTCTGACCAGCCTGAAAAACTTCATTCTCCCTGATGGAAAGAGTTAACGATTAAGTATTGTGAAGGCTGTTGCTTCAGTCTTAGAATAATTCTGGTTGAAAGGGGCATCAGGAGGCATCTGGCTCAACATCCCACTCAGAGCAGGACTAAGTCTGAAGGTAGATCAGGCTGCTTAGGGCCTTGTCCTGTCCAGTGTAGCACGTCTCCAAAGTGGAGACTCCACAGCCTCTGCACCATTGGTTTCAGTGTTTGCCTGCCCGCCTAGGCTCTGCTGTTTGCAGTTCTGCACAGACGTGTGTGCCCACACTGTCCAGCAGAACCAGAAGATGCTTTTCAGCCTGGAGAGGGCGGGTGGGGTCTGCAAAGACACTTCTGCCTTTGGCAGTGTACCTGTTGACACGGCTTCATGGCCTTGCTGTTGAGCCTGCCAAGTGCTAGATATGGCATTGCTGCTTCCTGTCTGAGTAACCTTTAGTGGCAGTGACCAGAAATAGACCCGAGCCTGCAGTGGGCATGCAAACTGCTAGGGAGAGAGGAGTCTGTTCTCATTTATTTATTTTTAAACCAAGCATGTTTCTCCTCTCACTAAGCCCAGCACAGACAAGGAGTAATGACTCTTAAATCACCCTAGCCACAATGTAATAGTGACATGGGCCTTTATTATCTGCTTCCCCTTTTCCATCACGTCCTGTGGTTGGAACCCTAGGGAGGCACTTGGCCAGGCCACAGGCGCAGCGGTGCTCAGCACCCTGCAGGCCCTCACACACTGCTGCCTCCTGGCTTGCCCGGAGAGCCTGCAGGAGCCTGGAGCTTCGCAGCGGAGCTGGGCGAGCGTGGGGACACGTGTCCCTCTGCCTTGCAGCACAGCCTGGCAGGGATGCCCAAGGCCCCGGCTTGTCTGGGGCTGAACCTAGGAACCAAGAAGGCGCCAGGATTTGCCTCTTACAAAGGCTGGCAGCATTGGAGATTTGGGGTTGCTTAGTGGACAAATTCTCCCTTGTGAAATTTTGCTGGGAATGGCACTTGCTGTGTATCTGCTTACCTGACCCCGAGCCCTGCTGTAAACACCACTTGGGGTTCAAGGCTGTTTTCACCTTCCGCAGGGGCACTGAGCACTGCCCGTCTGGCAGGCCCTGTTTTCCATGACAGCTGGTTTCTGCCACTGGGCAGGGGAGGCTCTAAGTTCATTATCTGCTTCAGAAAAGAGATTTTCTTTCTGCATTGCTGAGCCAGATCAAACTGAAGAGCACTCTGTGTTTTTCAGCAACTTCTAGTACCTTCTACATAGCCTCCAGTCTACTTGTGACGTAAGGGAAGTGGCACCTCTGTATATAATTCTATACAATAATATAATCATTAGGTTTTTTTTTCTTTTTTTTTTTTTTTTGAACACATATAAGCTTTCAACATTTGTGGCCTCCTGTGGCAGAATTCCACAGCTGAACTACTACTAGTAGTTTTGCTATAGCAAACTGTCTTCTGTTTGGTTAGTCATAAACATCTGCAAGTTTTATTTAATAAGCACTTTTTCCTCTGCTGGAAGAAAGTAAACAGTTGAACCCTGCTTTCCTTCCCTGCCTACTATTTGAGAAGTCTGGGGTTCAAAAATCTTCCATTTCCGATCTGCAAACAATGAAAAAGCTTGGGACCTGCCAGGCTGGGAGCTGAGCACGTGCCACGGAAGGAAGGAGCATGCAGTCTAACTGAAAGACAGTCAAAGGTGGCATTAATTCCCATCTCAAAGTGAGATAACACAGACATTTTAATAACGTGCCCAAAATTATACAAGGGAGTATGACAGTTAGGAATTCAATTAAAATCTTCAGGCTTCTAATCAAGTATTTAATCACAAGATCACTGTACTTCTGTTGCTCTTTCCTGAATACTCTGTGACTTTCTAACAACTTTTAGTAAAATCTTCCACCAAAAGTTGCATTTGGGATTTCCAAATGTGAGTCTGTGTGCTTAGGAGAAGGCCTTGCTTCCCTCTCTGACATATCAGGCTTGATCCTTTCCCTTCACTCTTTGCCATTTGAAGAGCTGATGTCCTTTGTGATCTCCTCAGCAAACGCATGTACTTAAATGCCTCAAGTAGCATGTGTCTTGGAAGGTGGCAGTTTGTGCTGTTTGTGTCATGCAGAGGCTGCTTTTATGTGAGATTCTCAGCAACAAACTAAAGCCAGAACAAAACATTTTTGTACGAGTTGTCAAAGATGTCACTTTGTCACCAAAAGACCTAATGATTATCACAGTTGTCCTTTTGTGTGGCTGCAGTCACATCTACTGATAGGCTGTGTTTCTTTATGTTTGTTTCTTCGGATGTGGAGGAGGATGGAGAGAAGTCTTTTCTGAAGGTCAGGTTTTCTCAGTTTGCCGGTTTGGTAAAAGTTTTATTTGGGGTCAGTAGAAACTTTTCTTAGTCTCTTGAGGTTCTAGAAGGATTCAAATACATTTCAACTATCTGGAGAGTCTGATTCACTTCATACATACAAAGCAATCATATTCAGCTGCAGCTCAGCTGTAGTCACAAGTCACTGCATTGGAGACTTGCTGTTTATATTTACAATTAAAGCCTTGATCCATTTGAAGGAAAGGATAACGATTTTTGTGAGGCCCATAGCACCTAAGTGCCATGGTTAAACTGAACATGGTAGACTATTAGTCTGCAAATACCAATACTAGATTTTGCCATCTTGACTCTGAGACCTAGTTCTGCTCAGCCCTTGTTGGTTCCTTTTGGCTTCAGTGGTAAAACTGTTGGCTTCTCTGCACAGAGAGAAACAAATAAAAAAGCCCAATACAGAAAAGCAACCCCCCACATTGGTGATCTGCAGTGTATTAATACCACAGGCTAGGAACTGTAATTTTGCAAGGATTGTGTATAGGGGAAGGGGGTTTCATAATATGCCTGACTGTAAAACAAATGGCTAAAATCAGAGATGGATTTTGTTTACCATTTTGAGCTTGAGCTGATGCATCTTGAGCGCTGTGGTTAGTGTGAATACCACAGTCCTTTGGGAGTTGAGTAGCCTTCTCTAGCAAGGCTGTTCATAGCTGTACAGTATAACCAGAAATATTCCTCAAAATACAGATTCAGGAGTCAGCAGCTCATTATTAGCATTAAACATCCCACGTTTTTCTTGGAATGACTAAACCTCCTTAGAGCTCTCGGTTCAGACAGGCGTTCAAGAATGTGCTTTACTAGAAGCACATTGTTTAAGTGCACTGACTTCCACTGGGTTTAGCAGGTCTTAAAGCTGAGGCCATACTGAGGAAACCTACTACACTGGAGGCCTAAAGAACCAGGTGGCAGTTTGACAAGTGACCTGACAGAAAGCAGGTGACAGTGCTTAAAAATGTACCCGTATGTGCCAAGTACAGCCAGAGTCTTGAAGTCTAATGCTTTTGAAATGGGAAATTGAAGGGTCACAATGTAAGGACCAGACCTGTTTGAACTGTGATTAAATGCCCCAAATGAGGGCACACTTCATCCCTGTGTGTGCACGTACATACCCAGCAGGCTGCCTCTAGGTTTGTTGACAGTCACGTCCGACACATTCAATAGGTTAGTCACTAGTCACTATCATAATAACCTGCTTCACAAGCAAAACAGATAAACCTTTCTGATGAGTAAGAAAACTCTACTAGGAGATTTTCAGATAAAGCTTGTGCCCTTGTCTGATTTGAAGTTATTTCACACATGAACCCTATAACTATTTCATGCATCAGCCTATGCTAGAAGCCAGCAGAGGCGATGGTGCAGTTCTGCGTGCTCGATTCCAGTGAGCAGCGCTGGGTGGTGGCTGGTGGCTGGCGTGGCCCGCAGGTACAGACCCACTTTCCTTGATTCCAGGGCCTTTACTGATTTGGTACGCTGTGTACAGAGAGCCGAGCGCTGGCTCAGCCAGCCCACGAGCTGGCTGCGCTGAGAGCCCAGGAGAGCAGCCCGAGATGCGCGCGCGGGTGGCTGCAGCAAACACCTCCTCCTCCTCCTGCCCCATGGCTGGCGGGGCCTCAGCCCCTGCAGAGCTGCCCTGCAGTCCTGCGGGAGCCGCGGGCGCAACTCCAGCTGCGTGTGCAGCTGCTCCCCTGCCTAAACCTGCGCCCACGGGACAGGAGCGGGCAGCAAGGGGGAGACCTGAGTTCAAGCTGTTGAGGTGCCCTCTGCCTTCGCTGTCTGCAAGCCAGTGGCTTTTCCCAAGATTGCTTTCAGTTTGCTTGTCAGACCTGCTCAAATCCATGTAAGGTAGTTCTTGTGTTGGTCCTGAAAAGGCAGAAGTGAATCTGCTCATCTGCAGTAGCCGCGTTCACCACAGATTCTCACTGCTCTAGCTAAGTAGGGTGCAGACAGATGGCTGTGAAGGTGGAACGGATCCTGATTTTAGAAAACTGCTTCTTTCAGACAGTGATTAGGAATGGTCGTAGCAGCACACAGCATCTGCTTTAGAGTCCTGTGCATATGGCCCTTTTCCCTCTTGGTCCCAGCATTGGGCCCAAGTTTAGCCATAGCCCAACGCAGAGCCATGTGATCTGGAGCCACCAGCAGTGGGACACAGAGCCTCCAAATGGGAGGTACTGACATGGGCTTTTGGGTGCACAGTCGCCCATACTAAGGAGGGTGTACTCTTAGATAGATAGATAGATCGATACATACATACATACATAGCTCTCAACTGAGATACAGAACTTGAATGAGTCATCAAATTCACTTCTGCAATAAAAGTTACTTTCAGGACACTTTCCCCAGTATAATAACAACATGGGAAAGACTTGGGTTTTGATGGACTTATCTGTCTTAAGCTTGTGATTAGGACAAAGGGAAAAGTAGATCTCCTGTAAGGACTAGATTCTTGGCTTTTCAGTAGTGCTGCTGCAGTGCTTCTCTGGAAAGCAGAAGGGATGTCTGCAATGCACCGCAGATCCCTGTTACCAGGGTGTGGGCTAACCCGCCAGCAAGACCTGGTCTCCTTGGCCGGGCTTGGCCAACCTTGGCTTGGCCAGGTTCTGCTCATGCACATGAGCTTCAGTGTGTAAGTGCCAGTTTGCCAGTCTGAAATGCACTTTTTGCATCCAAATAGTCAAAGTTCTGAAGTTCTGTTTTGTTTTGCTTTGCTTTCTGTTTGGGGTAGAGTTAGGAATTAAATGGGTAGGGAAAATCTGAGATGACTTTGGCAGCCTTTGGCTTGGCCCTGAAAGGGGCTCTCAGTATCGGGCAGTCTCTCCACAGCCATGCACACAGCTTCCAATACTTGCTTTAAGAGAAGCACATACCCCATGGGTTTAGTATATAGGTCCAACACCAGGCTTCCACAGGACAAGATAAGGGCATAAATGAATCCGGTAACCTTTTGCTATCCCTTTGGTTTTCTTTCTATCCTTATGATGTGGGATAGCCTTTTTGCACAGCATTAACCTAGGAGTGAACAACAAATCAAGCAGCAGAATTTCATTTTATTGGCTTCTGACCTATTAGGCTTGTTCAGATATTAAATATTCAATGTTCAAACACTAATAGACTTGTTCAAATGCAAAACTCATTCAGTTTTGTTAAGGTAAAAAGATAGAAATGCTTCCAGGCCTTGGAGATTTTAGTGGAGTAGCAGTTTAGATCTGGGCCTGCTTGTAGATATAATTCTAAGAGTAATTATCAGAAGAATAGCCATTTTGCCATGTGTCACAAAAGCCTTCTCCTGCTGAAGAACTAGACCAGCCCTGCAGCCCAGCACGCACCTCGGAGCCAGATCCTACGCTCTCCTGGAGCGAGTAGGAACGAAGGCTGGGGACTAGATCACCCAACAAGGTATCAGGAGCAGCATGTCCTCTTCTTGCCCAGCTCATGCCTTCGTGAAAATAACTACCCTGCTCAGCTTGCTCACCTACAAAAGAAACGGTGATAATTTGTTGTTTCCGTAGTTTAATCATTTCCCTGGTATTAGCCTAGCTTAATCAGTGGTAATAAATCATTTGGGGCTCTTTGTTGAGAAGGCTCTGGGGAGACTCAGCACTGTCCAGGTGGATGTAGCTGTGCGTTGCCTATTGAGGTACAGCAGCCCACCATTATCTTAGAGGAATGCAAAGGAAGATGAAATATCACTTCTTTGAAGTTTAAGTTTTAAATTAAGATCAAGGGCATAACAGGAATAGCTTTACTGAATAAGCTTGCCCAGTGGCTACTGCACAATGCTGTAGGGGAAGAATATTGGGAAGTTTCCCCTGGATTATCCTCAGGTTCTACCAGGCAGCAGTTCAGGAACTCCTTAAGCCAGAATCTGCAGTGGGGCAATTACATTTAATCAGCAGTGATGGACACATTTTCCGAAAACCTGCCTGATCAAGCCACTTCTTAAGCTACTGATAGCAGTCAAATCTGATCTAATTAGTGTTGTATGAAAAGAGCACTTCCTTCTGCTTCCAACCTGCCACCTTCTTGCTTTGTTTGCTGCTGCCTGTGATTTCTTGTGCTTATGAGAAACGGTGATTCACTGTTTCCTTCCATTCTCTGGTTTTCTTCTGATTTTGAGAGACCTTGAGCATATCTTCATGGCCCCCCTGTTGTTGTTTCCCCTTCAGTCCAGGGAGGCCCATTCTATACGGGAGGGCAAGTTCCAGGCTCAATGCTGTGACTTGGCAGCGATCCTTAATTTGATGTTTTTAATCAAAGCTGGGCCTTGCCTGTGCTTTCAGGTTCCGTCAGCTCATTGCTGAATACGAGCCCGAAGTGCAGGAAATATCGCGGCTCTTCCGCTCCGTCCTGCAGGAAGCCGCCGAGAAGATCAAAGAGGAGGAAGAGGCCAAGAAGCTTGCCAGGCAGTGGAATACAAGGAACAAAACCAGCCTCTCCTTAACGACGTTTAAATCCCGGTCCAGGATTTCTCCCTTCATCAGTGACATCAAGACCATCTCTGAGGACGTGGAACGGGGTACCCAGCCTACCAGGAGGGTTTGGAGCATGCCAGAATTTCGGAGCACCAAGGATTACTGACTCTGTACAGAACAAGGTTTTTAGACAGTGATCTTTTAAACTCCCCGTTAACCCTTTTTTTATCTCTGCCCCTGCTTTGTTGCAGCTCTCTCTCCCCATCTGCCTCTCGTGGAAGCTGTGTCCATAGTAACTGCTGCTGACGCATGCGGTCTGCGACACAATTTATTACCAAATATGTTACCCTTTCCTTTTGTTCAGTAGAACTCAGTAACCCTAAGGACAGGGGTCACTATCTCATTTTTATCACCGCTTTCTTGTGGAAGATGATTTAGTTTTGTGATGTGTCTCTCCTCCCCACAGCCTGAATGTGCTGGATATCATAAAAGCTTCTGCCCAAAGCTCGTGAGAGCTGTTGGCTACAGGGCTCTTGCTGAAAGCGAGGAGGTTGCTTTAGAGAGTAGGGCTTGCAGGATCAGGCCTGTGAGTTAAAACTGAACTTTCCTGACTATTGAACCTTCCTTAGTGCTGCAGGAGCCTTTTCACATGCAAATACAGCACTGCTTTTGATCAGATTTTTTTTGCTGATAGTTATTTAGCAATCAAACTTGAGTAGAAACAGACCCAAGGTTTTTGAGATGGAGAAGCACCTCTGCTCCACAGCAACCAGTTTGTGCATATTCAGGTTTCTTGGGTGCAGGCCAACACCCCTGAACCTGGCACATGCAGAGCAGAGAGAAATCAAACAACTTGCTGCATAGACACCCCAGCACCTCCATCAACGCTGTGTCAAGCCCCCTACCTCCCTCCTTGCTGTTCTGTGTTCAGTGCTCCACCCTCTGTCCCAGTAATAACCCAGGGTCCAAATTAATGCTTATCACTGAGCTTGGAAGGGCAGTGGAGTACAGCATCACTGCAGAGAGGAAGAGGGTGAAGGGAATTGGCCTCTGCCTTCAAGGCTCTTTGTGCAGGCCAAAGGGCTGGGGTCACCTCAGCAAGCTACTGCTCCGAGTGACCGGATGGCTCTGGGGATGAGGGGCTCTTCCCTTACTCCTGCCCGCTCCGAGGGCTCGATAGGGAGGTGTCTGCAGCAGCCTTCGGCCCATGAGCTGCCCTGAAGGAGAGCTGAGCTGCACCAGCTCAGGGGGAACTCCCACCAGCAGGGGAAAGGGAAGAGCACTCTGAACAGCGTGGTTTCTGGAGAGAAACTGAGTGCTAAGAGCCTCAGTGGTGAGCACCAGGAGGTGGAGAAGGAAGACCTGCCTGTAGGATTGGCTCCTGGAGAGGCATCCCAGTGGGATGCAGCCTTCTGGAAGTTCCCCCAGCTCTGCTGTTCCTTTGCCAAGTTCTGACTTCTTTACCTGGAGATCACTGCAGCAGCATGTGGTTACTACAGCCAAGCACTACCCGTGAGGCTGCACCAACCCTGCAATGAATTCCAGCATTTGAAATCTATCCTAGACTACAAATCTACACTTTCTTCTGGGGGTGGGGGAGGCTTGCATAAAACAAAACCCAAGATCAACTCCTTAACAGCTCTTAAGACTGTGGGGTTTGGACTCCTCCTGTTCTGGCTGTTTTTCATCAAAAACCTCAGGGCTTCCAGCACCCTTTTTGTGCTGGGCTACTTCCATTCCAGGTCAACGGGAGAGAGGCTAAAGCCTTCCGACAATCAGCTTGCTTTTCCTTGTGCTGTGATATGTGACTGAGTAGAGGAGCTAAAAGCAAAAGCTTGTCATATTTAGCGTAGTCTTAGTTAGCTCAAGCTGTGTAATGTTTAAGCAAGGGATCACCACAATTACCAAAAGAAAAAAAAAATTTAGAAGAAAAGCATTTTTCTATTTATTTGTAAGACACTGTATGGTCCTGAAGGCTCCGATGGGGTCCTGACTTTCACCCTAGGGCTCATGTTATTTGCATTCGTGTCTCTTTGGACACCTTCAGTACTGAGTGTATTGCTGCAATACATGATGGACAGCTAGGAGAGGAGGGTCATTCAGACCCAGTGCTGTAAAGCTCTTGGTTACTGTGCAGCTTCTGTAATGTGCTCATTCTTTCCAGAGTAGGACTGGGAGCAATTAATTTTCCTACCCTAGAATCTCCTCAAGTGTGACTACCAGAGCCCCTTACAACCATAGTTTGCACCTCACTAACAACCTTCAGCTAACAAGTAGACACTGCTCTTGTTTTATAGCCATCCAGAGGAGACCAGTCTGGCCTTTGGCAAAGCCAAGTGCATTCAGAAGGCAGCCTGGGCCAGTCCCTGCTGTAGCATTCACTCACGCCTCAACTAACCTATCACTTCTACTGCCACACTACAGCTCAAGCAGCATCATGCTCTCACTGTACCTCTTCTGCAGGTTTCACTTGGCTCACAGTAGCACATGACCATAAAGGATACTCAGGTATAGGGAATATAGGCTTGTTATCTGCTATCTGGTGCCGCTTATACCCTCCCAGAGCGCTGCGTGTGCTGGGAAGCGGCTCTTTGGAGGCCGAGCGTGCCCCTCTGCACGGTGTGCAGAGCAGCCCGGGCTGAAGCAGAGATGCCTTTTACATGAGGCCAACCCCAAAGGCCCTTTGCAGCTGGCGCATGGGCAAAGGCACCACGGGGTTGGACTACCACTGGTCTGAGGCACGCACAGTTTGAACATCAGCCCCACAGCAGCAGCAACTGTTCCTGCGCAGTCCTGCTCCTCCTGGGCTGCACTACCTGCAGCCACAGACCCACATTCGTACACAGCCTGACCCTCTGCACTGCGCTTAGCCCCTCCTGAGAACTAGCCCATGACCTGATTATTCAAGTAGAACATCAAAGAGAAGCACAACTCCATGAACGAACTGAACGAGACTGATTCCAAATCCTGAAGTGTTCTGTCATAAATGAGCGAGGATTTTGGTGTCAGCCCTGCCCATGGGGCCACAGTCGATCAATGCAAATGCTACAGCACTGTCCAGAGGCCGTTGTGTTGCCCCTTGGCTTACTATCCCATCAGCCAAGGACAACCTCTCCATAGCCCCTCAGCTACACTGCTCAGCTTCAGGGTAGAGACTCACCTGAGAGATGCTCTGCAGCCCTGCCCCTGCATCCGGGCCTGGCCCAGAGGCCGGGGTGGCCGCAAGGAGCTGAAGTTGCTCTCCAGGGTCAGGCATCGCTGGGCGGTGCCAGCAGGTCCTGGGCAGGGCAGTGAGCCTGGCAGGAAATACCTGTCTGCTGCGATTGCACTGCTTACACATGACATCACGAAGCGTCAAAGAGAATTAAAGCAAAGCAGGAAAATACAAATCAGGTTGTTGTAGTTGTTGTTCTTGAAATATAATCGGTCTGCATCTCCCCAAACAACAGCTGCCCCACTGCCCTACTGCCCAACTGTGTACGTACCAATGGAGGAGGGACTGCAACTAAACAGAAAACATCCTCTCACCACAAGGTATGAATGCAGCTGTCTGTTCTACCCTGCTATTTCTACACCAGGAACAAATATTTCCTAAGGTTTAAGGAGATAAAGAGCTGGAATAAAAACAATAGCAAAGTTCTGAAATTCTCTAAAGCCAACTGGTTTACGGATGCAACCTTTAATTAAAGTGCTCATCAACAGGCTTCCAAGCACGTCTTAGGTTAATCAGTATTACCACAAACTGGGAGGTTAGAACCCCTTCTGATTTGCAGAGGCCCCCAGCTGCTGTAGGCCTCCTCACGCTAAGCACTGTATATGCAGACCATACATGTGATAAACGAGGACTCCTTTTGCCCACACACACAAAGCCTCAGCAAAGCACAGCTCACACCAGCGCACTAGGGAGACGAGACAGGCCAAAAAGAGACTTCCAGAAGGGATGACATGAGCTCGGAGTTACAGTAAGCTAAGTGCTGTGGTAGTACAGCCTCACCCCGAGCCACTCCTTGCCCGAAGCTGGGAAAACACCCAAAGAAAGAAGCCTACACTCCCATTTCCTACACACTCTCTCCAGATCCAGACCACTGCTGCAGGCTTCCCTTAGGGAACAGTGGGCCTTTATCCCAAGGCCACACTCTTGTTCCCGCATTCTGCCTCGCCTCCAGGCAAAAGTCACCTTTTCCCCTGCTTTTGCTCGCAAAGCATTTTGGAAGACACGCGGGCTGCAAAAGCCAGAGGCTGCGGCTGGCAGTGCCTCCCTGCGGGGGGGATTAAGCCCCTCGGTCCCCGCGGCGCGCCAGGCAGCGCCACGGCCCGCCCGGCACCGCCGCCCGCTCTCATCCTGCAGCGCCAGAGCCGCACGTGTCCCGCTGCCTTGCAGGGCAGCACGAGTGCACTGACCCCGGGCGCTGGGGGCCATCGCGGCAGCTGCCCGCGGAACAGAACTGCTGCTGTTACAGCTATTCACTGACTGTATCCTCAGAGGCCTCCACAGGGCGAGGTGCAGACACAGCAGCGCCTCTTCCACAGTACTTGTCCTTGGAAACATATAGCTGCATAGAGAAACAGGCTGCTCCTGATTCACTCTGCAGATAGTTTAAATAACTATTTATTTTCCTACAACAACAGGAAAATACTCCTCAGCTTGTTATATTCTGGCACTGGAGCTCTGAAATTATTTAAATGGATGGAGAAGGTTAGAGCTGAGCTTCTAAAGAACTCAGCAATCCCAGGCAAGGGCAGTGCAAGGAGAATGGCTGGTCCTTCCACATCCCTTTGCTCCCGTTTCACTGGGTTGCTGTGAACCAAAAGGCCCTCTGCCTCTGCATACAAGGTGTGGCGTGAGAGGCTGTTGTCTGTCCCCAGCCCAGCCACAAGGAAGGGAAATAAACACACATGAGGTTAAATTAATAGGCCAGCAGTAACAAATGTGCCCTGTAACCAAACACATAATGGGGTCTTGGCAGGTCTTGAACCCTTCCTGGGATTTCAAAACAAGAAAGTGCAAAGGCAATGTCCAAAGGTAAAACAAAAGCAAGTTTTCCCAAGAGTCTATCTGGACAGCAGTGCCATCTGCCGGGACATTCCAAAACAGCCATTAGCCAGGGGA